AGCTCCTAAACGCTATCGCGTCAAAACGCTCCTGAGTAGTTCGCAACGGCGCGAATACGCAGCGAGCAAGGACGAATTTCGCTCTTGTGGCGTTAGCTCGGCTCGGAACCTGCCTCGGCCGCGCCGTGCCATCCAGTCTTCCTAGACTGTCAGAAGTCGATGAGCGTGCGATGCGCCGGCGTGCACTCGGAACAGCAGTCATGTGTATCATTTTAATGAGTCTCGCTAACGAGAGAAACAAGCGGTAAAAGCGCCATTGCGTATTCGTCGTTCCAGTGAAAAGAGGGTTGAACGCTTTTGCCTTCTCGTTGACCAAGCTGATAAGAGATACCTCGACGGATGGCGTCTTGAGTGCACCGAAACTACAGAGGCTGGAATCGAGACCTCGAGAGTAGAAGCTGAGAGAGAGGAGAAGATGAGAGCGTGCGCGAACATCAGAGCACCGAGTCCTATAGTTGTATTCGGACAAGTGGGTAGGTGCAAAGTTTACCCTTGCGTCCGCTCTTTGTTAGAACACGAACGTCGAACTCCGGCGTTCGGTGTTCGAACGCATTTGAAAAGTCAGTAGAGTCAGAAGAAGCTAGCTTTGCGTCTGCCCATTAATCAATTCAATCCAAGCTCGGCCGTTCGGCACTCTGACCTTTCCGCGCTCTCTCGCCTTCTCCTCTGACTCGGGGACACACTTGCCGTTGGCGCAGTGTCCCTCGGCGACGTAGGGATTGGAGCGTCGGTAGAGCCTGCGCGCCGTGCTGAGGACGAGAGAGTTGGACTGCGGCTTCTTCGGAGGTATGGCCGGCGGCAGGCAGTCGCCCACGACGGACGCCTGGTCGCTGGGTCGACTCAGCTGCAGCGGACTCGCGCTCTCGTCTTCCGCCATGCTCTCTGGGGATACGCGCGGGCAGCCCAATCGAGGCGGAGAAGATCTACCGTCAACGCGAGTTATACAACATCACAGCCCAGCGTGCGATCATCCCACCTAGAAGACAAAGCAAGCGCCTCCCTCCCCCCGCCCCCCTTCTCCCCTCCCCCTTTCCCTTCAAACGCCATCACTATAGGCGTTTGCATGTACGGCCTCTAGGCGCCGCCATGTTGCAGCTGGTTTGCGTGTAGGTCGTCTTATAGTCAAGCATTGCTGAGGCCGGGGGTACGCCTCTGCTTGACTACCATACGATATGCCCACATCAGGTGCAAGATGGCAGCGCCCAGAAGCTGTACTTGCGAATGCCTATATATGGGGTATCCACTGGACGCCATATTTGAGGGCGATGTTTAGAGCGCATGCTCGGAACAAGCTCACATTAATAGGCTGCTAAGACCGCCAATCTTGATGATGTGATATGCACGTCGCAAAAGAATTGTGGGAGCTCTCTGTCAGCACGCGCTCAGCAGATGCGCGCACAGCTATGGCCGCTATAGTGAATGCTTTCTATTGGCGACGTGGGCGACCAAGAGCGTCGCTTCGGTCGGCCTTCCATTATTGGTCAAACTATGACATCTTTAGTAGGATGACGTCTACTTTCCTTAAGGGAGACAAAAAGAATGCTAGACCATCAACCTCGGCGGTGTTGGTTTAGGAAGCAATGACTACAAGCTTCCATCGTGCTTTTTACGCACCATCGAAATTTTCGCTGGTGATCGATAATCCTAGCGATGACGTCACAGATGGGAACCAAATGAAGGAGCCACCGAGACCTCTCGTCGCCAACAGTCGCTAAGAAGGGGAGAACGGCAGAGAGGAGCTTCAGTTGCCCCTCCTCAGCGCGAGCTTCCTGCGACAGTGCTTCGGTGTCTCGTGTACCTCGAGCACGCGCACGCAGCCAAAGCACGGCAAAGGCATGGAGCACGTGCTGGAGGCCGGGCGTTCAAAACAGTCGTCCTGCCCTTCTCGCCTTTTTAGCGACTATAAAAATTAAAAAAAAGGAGTTTCATACAATACACCGTTCACTCTTAAGCTGAGACGAGAAGATCCGCCTTCAGCGCGAGCTCGCTGGCTTCCAATGTGCTTTGGAAGGGCGTGCCTGCGTGTTTACACTTGTGTTCGCAAAGGCAGAAAGCTAGCGCTGAAGGCGGAGCTTTTAGTCCCAGCTTAAAGGTGAACGGAGTATATACAGGCAGAAACTGAGGGAAAGGAGGAGATGAGGGCGCACGGGGACGTCAGAATAATGGGCTCTGGTTGGAATGATTGGCAAGTAGACGCAAAGCTAGAGCTACATTTTGAAACTACTGGCTAATCATTCTAACAAGAGCTCTGTGTTTTGACGTTCCCGTTCGCTCTCATCTACTCTTCTCCCTCAACTTCTACCCGTCTTTTTTTATAAACTGAGTGTATTTTTATTAGCTCTACCCAAACTCTGCTACAGACAGAGCTGCATGTGCTGAATGTCTGCGGCAGGTGGTTTTAAAGAAACAAAAATAAAATAAACGGGACTTTTCAGGTGCATTGGTCAACGCCCCTTTTTTAGTTATTTACTTCAAATAGTTTATATAGTGACAAGTCGAGCGCGTGCAGAGCGTGTACCTGCGTTTTCAGCCTTCCCTTGGATGCTTGTGTCATTTGGTTACATTGGCTATTGGGTGGAAGCTCTATTTGGGGAAAACTATTCGCCACAGGCCATTTTTGCGGTCAAACAACGGCTCAGAAAGACATTTCTGTCACATGATCGTCAACCAAAATCTGCAACAACGATTTTTGTCAATCGTGTACTGCGGATTCTGGGCGCTGCGGGCCTCAGTCCTGGCTCGAAGTGACGGCAGGAGCTTACACTAGAAACGCAAAGCTTCTATATACGATCTATGAAAAGCCCTTAATCTCGACGGTATGTAATGCACGCCGCGGAAGTCTTGTGGAAGCCCGCCATGGGCACGCGCGCTAGAGCAGCCACCGACCCGCCCAGCGGTGGCGGTTGACGATTTTGATTAAGCGAAAGCATGACAGGGGAACTGGGCGCCGAACGCTCGGCGGGAGCGTCGGCGCTCGACGTACCGATGGTGACGGACGGGTCCTCGTGGTCGGCGGGCAGGAAGAGGATGGCGCTGCCGGCGTCCCGGTGGGTGGTTCCCGCGTTGAAAGACACCTTGAATTTAGCGCAGAACGCCGGCAGCCGTCCGCCGTTGAGCTCAGTCAGCGCGTGGGCGAAAATCTCCATCGCGAGTCTGTCGGGCACCGGCGCGCGCCCATCGCGCCTCCTGTGAGACACCAACGACAGGCGCCGGAAACGGGGCCAAACCAACCCCAAGCAAAAGACAAATTTATTTTGACCACGCCGCCTGACCGCGAGACTTATTTCGACTAAAAACCCATTGATAGAATTCACGCTTACAAGTACCACCAATCATGGTTTTGGAAATGCGGAAGGCACGTGCCACGAGCGGGTGCTCCGCTGCCATGTTGGATAGAAGGGAGAGGCGTGATGATCGCGCTTGAAAAAGTGATTCAGCATGCGAAAGAGGAGGAGTATGTGGTAGGTTTTAGCAGGGCTGAGGGCCATCGGTAAGTATCGATAAGTAAAGACTTTATCGACAAGTGGGTAGCAGCGCCACCCTTCACCACAGAGAATAGAAGGTGAAAGAAGAAGTACATCGAGGGGCTTCACCACGTGCGCTTCACATGCCCACTATAGACGCTTTGCAACAGCTGTGCATGGGCGCCGCCATAACCGACCTTCAGTTTTTGTTTCCTCTTATTCCGTTCGCTTGCCTTCGTCATTAACATAGCAGGCCAGGTCAATGCAATTTTAGATCCTACCGTGTCCTTCCCCCCATCATTGGTCTTTCTGCAGACTCGTCAACGCCCGTCTTTTATGGCTAGGTGTCTCGGTAAAACAAGAGAAGGTCAGCAATGGCGGATGTACTCTGGCGCATGTAATTTGTAATTTGGCGCGTGTGTAAAGCGTCTATAGCTTCAAAGCAGCGTCGAGATCAATGTGCCGTGCCCAATTTCGTTATAGCTAACAAGCAGCAACAAAAACACTGTTGCGTCCCAGGGTGCAAGACATGAGTATGTATCCTCGTACAACGCCACCTCTATATAACATGCCTATCCATGGCCTCCTCTATACTGACAAAGCCTGGCAGATCGCCATGGGACGCTGCCGCCGAAAGTGAAAAGGTAGAGCGGCAGACAAAAGGCATGTAACGGGCGCCCCGCTGCGGCGACAAAACAGACTTGTCCCGGGCGATGGAATGTCCGCTCGTGCTTCTCGCGTTCCTCGGGTTACCACTTCGTTTCTCGCCCGGTTAAACTATGTTTCGGGTACTCGCCGCTGCAAAAGCTGTGCGCTGACTACAAAAGCTATGCTACCATATCTTCGCGCTCGAAATCTGTGACCAAGCACTCTATGGCTCCGTCGTCGAACTGCCGGGCTTTGTGAGTATAGAGGAGGCAATGTTTGAACTAATGACGTGTTCAGGTGGTTCAGGTGGTGAAACGAAGGGGAGCCAAAGCCAGCGTCTCGGACATACAGAAAAATTCTGGTAGCGTACCACGTGATCGTGTAAAAAGTCAAATTTCGGGGTTTTACGTGCCAAACCAACGGCGGGCATCTGGCACGCCCCAGCGGAGGTCTGAGGATTAATTTCGACCACCTGGGGATATTTTGACGTGCAACCGAAAGCTCGGTTACACGGCGCCTTCTCCGCAATAAGCCTCCGTCAGATTGCGGGCACCTCGGCCGGGATTCGAACCCGCCACATGGGGACCCGTAGGCCGACGCTCTCGCCTCGGAGCCACCGAGGTGGCTCCACGCGATCGTGTACACCCGAACACAAAATGGCTGGCAACTGGCGTTTTTAAGTGTACACTCTTTGCATTGTGGCCTCTTTGGTCGCGAGTGAGCTTCGTTAGCGCGTATGTATAATAACTCAGCGCGATGTAATAACTGCAACATATTATCCATATTTTATTATAAATCTATAGGAAAGCCAGGAGTTGATTAAGGGAGATAACGGGGACTGCTCTCCAGGACAATGACGACGTCGACGACTAAAGAAATTCTTGAAGCGGCGCATGACATCTAACGCTCGGGGCTATGTTCTCCGCTGCGCGGGATGCCCTGTCTCGCACTGAATGTGAACACGGCGTTTTCCTGGCGCCACGTCCGCATGCTGCTGTAGTAGATCCTGCATGGTCAAGAAGAGAACCAACGCAAACAAAGACTCACTCTCAGATGAATTTTGGAACAGACAAAAGCGCGAAACCCAAGCGCGGTCCCCTGAAGTCCCCGAGAGTACGGATATTCTCCCGCGATTTTCTCGGAGCACAAATCATTGTTCTTCCTTTCACCAGATCGGTCAATGAAGAGAAGCGATTAGTACCCTGCACTCTAAGAAAAAAAATGCAGGAAAAATGTAGCATCGGTGCATTTTCCTCCCTTCTACTGACGCGCTCCCAAGCGGACATGAGACGGGAGGAACGAAAAGATTTTCTCCTTCTCCAGGCAGACGGGAGAAAGCTTTCGCCCTCCCGACTCATTTTCTTTTGGTTCCGTTTTTCGATCACGTCGCGCGCGTTGTTTAATATATGTTGTAGAGTTGATTGAGCTTCAGCGGTAGCGAAGGCTGCCTGTAATTCCGTCTCAAAATCCAAACGTGCAGAACATTTTGGTTACATTGACATTTTTACCACTAATTTTATTAAACGAGCAAACGAAGCCGCTTGAAACAGCGAAGTTCCGGAGCAGTGCCAGCAGCGCTACGTACACTGGGTAAGATGGCCGTCTCCGGATTGCGGGACCCACGCGGAACCCCGCGGCACCGTGTCGACGTTTGAGACGTTATGAAAATCGCAGAAACTGCGTCCAAGACAAGCAGGTTTTTCTGTCGGGTGTCAGGTGCCTTCTGTGCTGAGTTTGGTTCTGTTTTCCGATGCCGAGTACCAACCGGCAATCAACGTGGTTCTGTATTTCTGCGTGTCAGCAACATAGCAGCCACATCGTGATGTTAGTGTTGTGCGTTGTTAACAGAAGATTGGAATTATCGCCGATGTGACCGTGTGTTCGCCTATGAGTGGTGTAGCAACAAGATGAGATGACGTAAACTTTCGGGCATTGATGCCGCTGGTCCGACCGTGATTGGAGGAGGCGGGGTGTCGCAGGTTGACATTTTGCTTTACATTAAAGAGCTTCAGGGATTAGGTGCAATCATACTTCGGCATTCTCACTCATGAGTGCGATCACTCACGATCACTCGCGCTCACCGTCCGATTTAAGGTGATCGTGAGTGAGGCCGCGAGTCTCAAAAAATTGTGAGTGTGAGTGTGAGTGTGATCGTGAGTTACGTGAACTCATGAGTGTGAGTGTGAGTCCTGAGAACTGATGAGCGTGAGTCTGATCGTGAGTGTGATCGCGAGTTCTGAGAACTAATGAGTGTGAGTGCGAGTGTGAGCCCTGCGAACTCATGAGCGTGAGTTTGATCGTGAGTGTGATTGTGAGTTCTTAAAACTCTTGAGTGTGAGCTTGAGCGCTAAGTGAAGTACTCATGAGTGTGAGTTTTGAGGTCTCTTGAGTGTAATTGTGAGTTTCGAGGCTCATGAGCATGAGCCTGAATCAAGACGTGAGTCTTGGGTGGATATGAGTCAGGTGATCGCATTAGTCTGCATGATGACGTGAGCCTGAGGACCATGGCCATGATGAGTCGCGGTGAGCGCTGGTGTTTTCTTAGCTGGGTTGGTCACGTGAGCTCCCGGGCCGTCTTAGTGGGCGAGGAGACTCTCGCTTCGCAACTACTGCGTGGGGTTCAGGCCTTCAGGGTTGGTTTGGGTGTCGCTCGCCTGCTCCTTCGCCATGTGAACGCGCCGATTCCTGTGGAGGGCGGAGGAAGGGGGGGGGGGGGGGTGCTTGTTCTTGCAGGCTCCACCTTGCCAGCGCCCTCCGCAATGTCTCAACCAGCTATAGACGGCAGAGGAGGTATGAGGAAGGGGAGGGGGGGGGGGGGGTCGCTATCGTCTCTCCTCGGCGGTTGCTCTTCGCTTCACGGCAGACTGCGAGACGCCAACGGACTGATGGCGCCTCGAGGCGGCGCGGTAACATCGGAGTTGGGGAAGCGCTCCGAACGGCTAGCGCTCCTCTCTCTGTGGCATAGAAAGGTTCGTGTGGATTTCGGTTCCTGTTGTCAAGTTGGTGTCAGTGGGCACATAATTATATAATTGCGTCAACTATAACGTTCGCACGGCTGAAATAAAATTAAATGACTCGCATGATCCTCATCAGCACCCGGAATTTTATTTTTCCGCGCACCTCAACGTACCTTTCGCAAATGAGTCATCATTTAGGAAGTGCAACAAAGGCGGTGTCATGATCGATCGAAGCTTGGAGTGAGGTCTTTCACATAGTGCGATATCATGCTTTTAAGTGTCGTTTGGGGCAAGATGGCGCAAGTGCATGACAGCCAGCCGGCAATGGCCAGGCGGCGCCACGAGAATGCTGCATTCAGCGTCACAAGCGGAGGTGTCTCTCTTAATGTGTCGGCCAGTGGCCAGTCTGCCCGTTGGGCCGTGGCGAGCGGCGGCGACCCCGATTTCAGCAGTTTCCGTGTGCACGTGCGCGCCATGTCCCTGTTTATTTTATGCGGATTTTTAAAACCATCGGGAGCCTTGATAGGTCGAAGTGTTTCGAGCATAATCTGGAGTTGTCATTTGGACACCCGTTTGAACTGTCTCCGTGCGCTTGCGGGGACGCCCTATAATAATCGCCGCCCGATCGGTCTGTGATTCGCTCGTCTCCCAGGAAGTGACACAACACAACGAGAAGGCAGCGAATGGGTTTACTGTACTTCCCGGTTGCCCGTCTTCGAGAGCCGGCAACAGAGCTGACACGATCTGCTACGACTAGCTACGACCACCCGCCGCAGCGATGCAGACGTCGAAGGAGCGCAACCTGTGTACTACGCAGTCAGTCGCCGTCGCCCGACCCAGACCGTTTGGCATTCAGGGCTTTCCGCCCCGGATTCTTCGCTCGTACTTGGAACCGAGTATTATTTCCTGTGCTTATGTATGTGCTCACTGGTTGGATATGGACCTCATAGAGCAGTTCTTCAGACTCATCAGCGACTCAAAGTTGACGGCGGAGGGGCTTGCAGCAACGCTTTCGGCTGGTGCACGGGTGTGACGACTACACGGGTAAATTTTAGTAGAGCTGCTAGCATGGCGGGTCATAGTCACTTTATGTTGACACGAGTTTAAGTTTAAGTACTCCGTGCAAAGGTGAATCTATCGCGTTTCTAATCCACCTTTGTTTTTGTTGTTGTTTTTATCACGCACGACCGACTACTAAGCAAATGCTTCTGTACCGATCACGGAGTGAATGTCTTCGGCCTTACATTGCGGAACGCTCGTTCGGCGAGAAAACTTCTCTTTCGAGGGTCCTTCTTTGATTGATAATTTCTCCCGTATCTAGGTGCTTTAATCAACACGATCGATTAGGTTTGCTTCCTTAGTTAAGACATTTTGCTGCCACGCGCGGCACTAATGCTTGGCACGATGTATGCCACTGGTGGTATTGTGAACTGGTTTACTTCCAAAGCTAAAAGTGTAACAGGTGGAACCATTCATTTTGCTAAAAATGTGATGATATTGGAATTTCGTTGCATAACTAGCGTTTAATGTTTAAGATTGATAAGAAACATGCTCATGTGATGATGCATGTCTACAGCATAAGCTTTGCAGATCCAGAATGGGTGTGCTGGTGGCTACAGCCTCAAGGTTTTAATGGACCAAATGGGTGATTACACGGTGATAAATATTGCGGTGGAAAACTGCCCATTGACTCGGTGAGTTTTGATTGTGACCATTGGTGTGCTGTTGGCAAATTAGGTATAATGGCACACCTTTTCCCTGACCATCTGGCTTCAAGGAACATCGTGTCTAGATGTGCTTAAATATGTTTATTTCAAGGCTCAGTTGACCCCTCTGCATCATTACAGGAAGGCTTTCTCAAGCCGCAACAAACAGTAGTGAATATACAATGCATAATAGCAGGCAGTGTCCAGGCGTATAGTCCGCAGAAGCCAATTTGAGCCTAAAAATGTTTTTTTTAGATAGTTTGCATTTGGTGTATAATCCGCAGGGCCTGGTTTCCGCGCCCAGTGCATAGTCCGCCAAGCTGGTGCGTTGTGTCCTCGTGCTTTTTTTTTTGCTGGTTGGCATTTTCTTCGCAAGTTCTTCGGCGAATGCTATCGAGCCTGAAAAACTGCTCTTGAGGCCCATATCCAGCCACTGAGCACAGACGGAAGCACAGAAAATAACTCTTGGTTCCAAGCGCAAACGAAGCAGCTGGGCGGAAAGCCGTGAATGTCAAACGAGCAGCGTCGGGTGACGGCGACTGACTGCGTTGCACCCCTTCGGCGCCTGCATCGCTGCGGTGGGTGGTCGTAGCTAGTCGTAGCGAGATGATCTTCACTTCAAGCAAGAAATCTTGCCATACCCTAATCATGATATGTGAGCAAGTGTTCGACGACGTGGGCTCTCTCACGTTGGTGCAGTTGTCATCAAGAAAGGTACATATCAAAAATGTTTGGCGTTTGAGGCTGAAACTATGACGCATATTTTATCTAAACCTAAATTTATCGGTCTGCGGCTACAAACATTTTTGTTGACGTTGCTTAGATGATGTCACCATTCAGGCCTCGCATTAAATGGTGTTGCGAACTCTTCGGTTGTGTATGAAACCCTATTTTTGCCCTAATAAAATACATTTTCAAAAGGACACGTACCTTCTGCTAATACATATCTTTCAATTTACAATGCAGAGGCAAAAGAAAATTAACTGTGTACACCTACCACTTAGCATAAGCACCTTTTGCCATTCATTCCTGAGTACACTCAAATATCAGCTTAGGTTTCTCTTGCTTCAAAGCTTCGCCCTCTTTTATAAAAAGAAAAAAAGTTAAAAAAGCTTTACCTTTGTTCTCCTTCTGGCATTTAATACAGACTTGTTTATTTTGCAGATCCCACACAGCAGATATCACCGTGGTACATACAACTCGAACGGCCGGTGAGACTATTGCTATTACAATAAAGCTTTCCACAAGAGCCAGAAGGAGGCTTGTGGGGTTCACAAGCACATCGAAATGAGACTGGCGCTTCCGGGGCTTGTTTGCATTATGCATAAAAACAGAACGATCGG